GGTTCACTCTCATCTGCATTGTTTTCAGTGAATAACCTCTAAAAACTCACTGTACACTACCTGCTCAGCACCAAACGGCATGACAGACACAGTTAACGACAAGCTGGTGAACACAGTGGAGCATTTAGCAGCTAGAGAGCCAGATATCTCCCATAGGAGTTAGTGGACAAAACAGAGCTTAAAGGAGAGTAAATATTGAGAGTGATCTGCTAATATCGATTCACAATAGCTTGAACTGAAAACAGGCAATTGTTTGCTAATAAGTACGTCACAGAAAACCTTATTATTAAGTAAAAAAAATTGTTTTGTATTTCCATTGCCTGCAAATTCAGTTATTGCAGGTTTAATGTGCAAAGACCTTTATACTGGTCACTTAAGCACTGAGAAGAATTTGATCCCTAACTGGCCTCCTACCACATTTGATTGCGCAAGGGAGCCGAGGCAGACAGCTGCCCACCTAGAGCAGGGGTCTGCTGGGGGTTTCTGCCTCTTAAACGGAGGTTTTGCCATTGTTGCCAAGTGCTTGCTCACGGTGGTGTCTCTCTGTAAATAATTTTATGAGGAGTACAGTCTAGAGTTGCTCTATTTGAAAAGTGTCCTGAGATAACTTCTGTTATGTCATAGATGATTATAAAGCCATGGGAGCAATGAGGACACTGAACAGCTGATCAGTTATGTGAGTTAAATGTTCCATCCCCCATTAAGTGAATTCACTTTTTTCATTTTTTTCATTTTACTTCAAGTGAGGATGTTTTTTCTTTTACTTTTTCTAATGTGATACTTCAAAATGTGCATAATAAGAAAAACACAGCTACTGTAAGAGAAGATTTTGACCCGATGAAAAGGTCAGGGGTCATTAGGTATCATCCTCTGGGGACCGTGAATGTCAATACTTTCACAGTTTTCTTACTTGTAATGATATCTTGCAGTGAAATAAACTTTTGTATGGACCGACCAACATTAGCACCCTTAGGCTCCTCCACTAATGGGCCATAACCTTTGTGTGCCCTCTCCAACAGTTCAGTCCAATAGCATCATTACTGCTGGGTCCGATCTTCCAGGGCAGACATATCAACAGCTTTTAAACATTGGTTTATATGCACTGCAATGAGACAAAGTGCTATTCCAAAACAGGAATCAGACCTCAGAATGGCAACAGGATGAGCTACAAATTGGCGGTCATCTCTTACAGTTAAGCCTGTCATTGTCCAACTGAGCTGTGGGAATAGAGAAATGTGTTGCACAGAGACACTGATCCAAGATTCAATGCCAGATTAGGCTGCTGGCTCTTACACTGCCCAAGCTCTCTTGCTGTCTACTGGTGCCAATGCTAAGGGCAGATCCAGAGTTTAGGCTGGCAGGCACATCCATTAGATGGAAATGGGTGAATGGTCAAAATGTTAACAAGGACACAGCTTTTAAAGACCTTTATGTGAGTATATGTAGACATTTCCTAGATTTGTGGTGGTATCTATCTATGGTGACAATGGAGGCACTATATACCTCAACCTGTTTCAGTGTAAAATCGGAATGGTCGGGTTCCCTCAGGTTCATGTTCACAGCTCATTCAGTGAGTGCTGATCCAGGTTATTTAACTCAAACATGTATGAACTTTAGCAGCACTATAAATTCCCAGTGTTCACGTTGATTTGGATGATTTACTGATTAGAATATATGAAAGCCCTGAGAGGCAAGTGAAATAAACAATCGTTCTGATCCTTCCATCCAAGTCTAATCCATTGTTGTCTCTCCTGCTTTTAAATAAAGGTGAGAAAAAGGTTTTTTCAGGATAATCTTTCCACGTTTAAATCTGGTTTGACAGGTGATTTTTTTCTTTGTCAGGATCATATTTGGTCTCAAAGTTCATATATTGTGTGTTATGTAGTTATGTAACAATTTAATTTGAATTTAATTAAATTTCAATTGAATTTCCCCATTGTAGGACTATTAAAGTAATATCTTATCTTATCTTATCTTATCTTATCTTATCTTATCTAACAGTATATGGAGAAAAATAAAACTCACCTGAAGAAAACATGAATAAGTTTAGTCCTATTTAGAACATGGGGTAGTCCTATTGATTTCTTTCAGGGCTTCTGTAGATGGCTCAATTAAAAACTTATATACATTTGGTAGGAAGGTTTTTATGACTTTTGAGTTCTGTATTTCTTTCAACCTGTGACAGGTCCATTCCACAGGTTTACTGGCTGAGTGACTTGTTTATGAGCTGGGGCAAGCCCGTCAAAAAGCTCCACTGTCAGCCCAAAACCATCAATAAGACAGGCACTGCTAGCTGCTGGATGAGATGATTAAATGGTCGGTGCTCTATTCTTCCCAGCACACCAAACAACATCCTGTGTGCAGACAGAACTCCTTATCCGCTACTTCAAGAGAAAACAGAGCAGAAAGCGTTCTGCCTGTAGCTCTTTCTTTTTGTAACCAGCCACGGTCATAGTTTCACTTTGCCTTGAAGCATTTCTTATGTTAAAATGGCCAAACTATACTTTATACTCTCCGTTGCTAGGGTGAAACATATGACAGGGGGGTGCAAAATAGCAAAGCAACCTGTGATTGACAACAGACAGGCCTCTAAAAAACACAAAAATCTGCTCCATTAACTCTAACTGCATGCTGTGAGTCTGAGCTGCAACCAGATCCAGAAGTAAATCCATCCACTATTTGCTATAGAGAGCTGTGGGCAGCAGTTTAAAGCAGGTCTACCTTCAATTTATAAATCACTTTCACATTTAGTCACGGTGAAGGTATGGATTCAGCCAGAAACATCAGGTAATCCACAGTTAGGATGTGCTTTTTCATGGTTGAGGCGATGAAAATATGTGAAAAACGGATGAAACAGTTCAGTCCTTTTCTCTGGCACAATTTCACCTTTTTCCAAGTGCACGGACAAAGGAGGTGAAAACTCCTGCAACACTTCCAGTAACAACTTTATTGTCAGACCAACATGTTTCAGTATGTGGCCTTCATCTGGGTCATGAGTCTTTTTTTCCTGTCATCACCTCACAGATAATCTGATTCATACCACAAAGGTATAGGGAGGTAATGTTGCAAATTGTCAACTGCACAGCTTTATGATTTTACACACTGCGTCTGTGGTCTTTGCTGGCACTGTTACTCTGTATGACAAACACATACACATTTAAAATATAATCATTTTGTAATTGTAGTATGTACTTACACTAAGTCAACCCTGACAAAATCAGGGCCTAGAATGGTGAATGCTAGAATGGCTGTTATACGCGAGCATATTTTGTATTTTTGGATGCTATTTCACACTCCCACATAGACAACAAAGCATATGAGAAGAGCAACAGGAATGTGTCTCTCCAAACACAAGGCAGTACTCTATGCTCCAAATATGAACGATCCAGAATGACACTGTGTTCATTTGTTTTAAAACCATAAACTGTGTAGGCAATTTGAGAAGGATATTCAATCACAGTTCAATGACACTCCACTCCACTCCCATGCTCTTATAGCACATAATCCACTCCCGCACCCCACTCATGGGCTCAAAACCCAATGGTCTAACCTGTCATGTGTAAAGACTAAATCCTTATGGATGCTGTTGTTTGTTCTGGTGTTTGTCTTGTAATTACCAACATCTACAGAATGCAGATGGAACTTGTTGTGCTATGTTGGGATATACAGCAAGATTAAAGCTTTTATCTGTTTTATGTACAGAACTCCTTTGGGAGACTGTCAATCTTTTGTTATCACATAACCATTGCAGTACAATAGATAACAGACACATATTATCTGAATTTAGTATTACTTGGTATGAGTTCACAGTTTCTCCTTCCTCTTTTTTGTCTCCTTTCCTGTAGGGCTACTTATTTGCTTTGTGCTAGCCTTGTCTATGTTGAAAAGACATTTTGAAAAGCCACATTCTGAAGATGGTCAAAAGATAAAAGTAACATATATATATATATA